TCTGGTAATTTTAAGGTAATCATCTGACTAACATTTCAAGTTCTTCTAAGGTTTTTTGTTCCATTGAAGTATTTTATTCTATTTTACTTTTGGACCAATATTGGCAATTTATATATGTTACAGAAGTGACATTTTCCAAGGTTTTTGCCAGGTTAGCAGTTTAGCAGTAACAGAACTGTGTTAGAGAATTTTAAAATATCTCCGTTATAAATATGTCATAAATCTTTCTCACTCCTAATGCTATTTATTTGTGTTTACTCTCCTGGTTTTCTTTGTTCATGTTTCAAAGGGTTATCAGATTTATTAATCTGCTTAAAGAACCAGCTTTTGCCTTTGTTGATCCATTCTACTGTTTTGATTTTATTTAAACATCTTTCTTTTTATCTTTTTGGATTCCATCTTCAACTCTCTTTTGGATTACTTTGTTATTCTTTTTTCTATTAATACCTTCTTTAGTTGAAATCTTAGGGCATTTTTATTAGTTTATTCATTTTCAACCTTTCTTGTTTCCTAAAAATAAAACAAATTTAAAGTCTATAAGTTTTCTCTAGGGTACTGCTTCGATATGGAAAGCTTTTATTGTTCACTTGTAAATAGTTTGTAGTTTCCATTTTGATTTCTTTAACTCAAAAATAATTTCATAGTGTTTTAAAATTTATGAATTGGGCTATAATTTTGGTTTTGATTTCGAATGTTATTGCTTTAGTATTTAGTATATGTATATTTAGGTCTCACAGTGGACAAATCAGTGAAATATATTCAATTCAATTTGTTATATTGGTCAAATTGAAATAATTTATGTCCTTAATTATTTTTTGTCTACTGGCTCTGACAGTTTCTAAAAGAAGTTTGTTAATGTTCCAAACATTAACAAATGTTTGGAAAATGTGGATTTTACCACATTTTGTTATAGTTGAATCGATATTTTAAGCTATCATCAGTTATTCAGTTTATATAGCAAATATTAATTTGATCACTTTATATAGTAGTCCCTCTTACCCGTGTTTTGCTTTCCAAGGTTTCAGTTATCCAAGATCAACCGTGGTCTGAAAACTGGTGAGTATAGTATAGAAAGATATTTTGAGAGAGAGAGAAGCCACATTCATATAATTTTTATTATAGTACTATATTGTCATAATTGTTCTAGTTTATTAGTTATTATTGTTAATCTCTTACTGTATCTAATTTACAAATTAATCTTTGTCATAGGTACGTACGGATAGGAAAAAACATAGTATTTATAGGGTTCAGTACTATCTGTAGTTTCAGGTATCTACTGGGAGGCTTGGAATGCATCCCCATGAATAGGTGGGGACTACTGTAATTATATGTGTCAGACGCTGTTCTAGGTATTTGGGATACACCAATGAATAAATAACGATTCCTGCTCTCTGGAAGCATGTATTCTATTCCATCATAGATTTGCAAACTATAAACAATAAATAAATAATATGTTATTTTAGAAAGAGATAGATGTTATATGAAAAAAAGGTTGAGCAGGAAATACGAGTGCTTAAAAGCTAGGTTATTGTGGGGTGACATTATTGGTAGGCTCACAGAGTTTTATTACTCTTATACCTTCTAATGGAAGTTGTTTCTGTTATTGAAAGAATAGGTCCTTCTTTACCTAAAAATATCTTTATTTTGCACTCATTTTTGAATGATAGTTGGTGAGGCATAGAATTTTAATTCAAAGTTATTTTCCCTTGACATTTTGAAGATGTTTTTCCCTGGTCTTCTGTTCATCCACTATTCCTGATGAGAAATATGATACCAAACTGATTTTAATTTTTTCATAGTTAATCTGTTCCCTGCTCCCTCTCCTCCCTTCCTGTTAGATTTAGGATGCCATTTCAGATTTGGTGTTTTTAAATGTACTGATTTTTAAATCTACTTTTTTAACTTAGTGCTTGATAGATTACTTCTGTCAAATAATTTGTATTTTTTTTTCCAGTTCTAGGAAACCATTACCATTATTTCTTTAAAAAATATTATTTCTTACA